CTCTGCTAAAATCACAGCCAAATAAAGCTTTAGTCTAAAATCTAACCTATATTTACTGTTTCTCATTTTCCTTGTCCAAATCTAGTATAAAATTGTTGGACATAAATTCCCACATTTGCTCTTTGGCCAATTGACTGCCCTCTAGAATTTTCTATCAGATGCAGCTCCTTCATTTTAGAGCAGGCACTTTGTTACGTTATGCAACTACCATCAATCCTAGGAACCGCTGACCTGCTGAGACAGCCAACCACGCCATCATTCCATGGATCAATTAAACTTCTGACCACTAATCCACAGGTAACTCATATATTGCTCTCTGGAAGTTGGTGGTATGACAGGATACAATTTCACGGCTAAATTTAAACTCCACTAAAAAAGGTATCCACTTCTTTTTTTTTTTTTTTTTAATTTTTTTTTTTTTTTTTTTTTTTTTTTTTTTTGAGACAGGGTTTCTCCGTAGCTTTTTTGGTTCCTGTCCTGGAACTAGCTCTTGTAGACCAGGCTGGCCTCGAACTCACAGAGATCCGCCTGCCTCTGCCTCCCGAGTGCTGGGATTAAAGGCGTGCGCCACCACCGCCCGGCCAAGGTATCCACTTCTTAATTCTCCTGAACTATAAAGCTAAAATGTGTGTCATTTAAACACACGGTAACATGGCACTAGCATGAAGGAAGGTATCAACAACTGTTGGGCTTATTTTCTCAGTGGAATGATGGTTATTAATGCTCATTTTTATGGTAACAGAAGACTTTCTTTCCCTACACACAAATTACATCATAAAGACAGAAATATACCATTTTCAGTTTTGGGGGCAGAGGAAAATTCATTGATTAGAAAAAGAAAGCAGTTAAATGAAATGAGCACTCAAAAGTAAAAGCACACTCTCTTCAACACTGACCACGTAGAAACTATGCCATGTCCTAAGACTAGAAAGGCTGTGGCTAAAATATTTCTACAGTACTTAGTGTGGATACACTAAACTTAGAGGGCAGGAATCTGCCTCAATCCTATTCTCCAACTAATACATTTATACAAAACTATCAAATATGGAAGTCACTGGACAGGGTCGTTCATAGCCTCTGTTACACCTCTACTTAGTTTTGCAAAAACTATTTTTCAACTTTAGAAATTGTGACCTGATTACAAGGATCATACAACTAAATAAATTAATGAACTTGCCACAAATTAAATTTTAAATTACATTTCTCTATCGTCTGAACGCTTTAGTGGGAAACAGTTTCTTGTACCCCTCACAAATGATACAAATGTACTGTACACAACTGTGAGAGCATGTAACATTGACTAAGGAAAAATACTCAACATAAAAGTGGGAGCTCTTCCTTCCAAAGTTAGGGAGAAAAGGAGCTGACTTCCTTTATCTGAATTAAAATACCATTTAGGAAATTAAGAAGTTGCCTATCAGTTCTCTAAGAAACACAAAGACAAAAGAATTATCTAGCACTTGGTTTTTTTGCAGCAAAGTTACATCGTACAACCTGAAAAGAAATCAATGTCTATTTACACAGACTGAGGAAGAGGATGAGGGGTTGGGGGCACACAAAACAACCTACATTTTATAAATGAGAATATTCAAAATAGAAAAAAACAAAGCCGGGCGGTGGTGGCGCACGCCTTTAATCCCAGCACTCGGGAGGTAGAGGCAGGCAGATCTCTGGGAGTTCGAGACCAGCTTGGTCTACAAGAGCTAGTTCCAGGACAGGCTCCAAAGCCACAGAGAAACCCTGTCTCGAAAAAACAAAAAAAACAAAACAAAAAAAAAAAAAAACAGAATAAAAAATGCCTATCTCTGAGAACATACTGAGAAAACAAAATCCACATCAGAACAACTGTTTTGAAAACTACAAAGCTCAAAATTGTTAGAGCTTTCTTGTCAACTAGGAATTTAACTGAAAGAGCCTGACATATTTTTCTTTCTTTCACAATTCTATTAAGCTCAGAAACAATTTTCTGCTTTAAGATATGTTCAAGTCTCTTGCCAACTCTAAGGTGGCTCCCTTAACTAAGAATTGTGCTTCCGTGCTCCCCTATCCAACCTTCCTTTAACCCAATCCTCCTTTTTCCCCAAGTTCCCCCCATTCTCCCCTTCTCCCTTTTCTCTCCCCATCTCCCCTTACCCCCATCCCACCCTACCCCCCAAGATCTCAATTTTCTCCCCGGCAATTTTGTCTACTTCCCATAGCCAAGAGGACAACTATATATTTTTCCTTTGATTCACTTTCTTACTTAGCTTCTTTGGGATCACCAATTGTAGACTCCGTGACCCTTGTTTATGGCTAGAAACCAATTATGAGTGAGTACATCCCATATGCCCAAGCCAAGGTCTTCAGTTAGTTCCTTGGGCAGCTGAGGATAGGGAACCTGAAATGACCCTATCCTATAGCAATACTGACGAATATCTTGCATATCATCATAGAACCTTCATCTGGTGATGGATGGAGACAGAGACAGAGACCCACACTGGAGCACTGGACTGAGCTCCCAAGGTCCCAATGAGGAGCAGAAGGAGGGAGAACATGAGCAAAGAAGTCGGGACCACGAGGGGTGCACCCACCCACTGAGACAGTGGAGCTGATCTATTGGGAGCTCACCAAGGCCAGCTGGACTGTGACTGAAAAAGCATGGGATAAAACTGGACTCTCTGAGCATGGCGAACAATGAGGGCTGATGAGAAGCCAAGGACAATGGCATGGGGTTTTGAACCTACGTAATGTGCTGGCTTTGTGGGAGCCTAGCCAGTTTGGATGTTCACCTTCCTAGAAATGGACGGAGAGGGGAGGACCTAGGACTTACCACAGGGCAGGGAACCCTGACTGCTCTTTGGACTGGAGAGGAAGGGGGAGAGGAGTGGGGGGAGGGGGAGAAGGGTGGGAGGAGGGGGAGGGAAATGGGAGGCTGGGAGGAGGTGGAAACTTTTTTTTTTTTTGTCTCCTTTTCTCAATAAAAAAATGGAAAAAAAATAAGATATGCAACACTTAAAAACATGAAGTCTGGGCTAAGAGTATAGCTCAGGGCTGAAACTGTTGGTTAGTACTTACGAAACTCTGAGATAGACACCCCTCCCCACAAGAAGTGCAAAACAGACAAATCAATAAATATTTAAAGCCTGAAGTGTGATTTAACAAGTCAACAAAAAATATATTTATTAATTAACAATGAAAATACAGAGAGATCTCATAAGACGGTGGAAACGTAGCTGAACACCAAGATTGCATTTAAAAACTGTTTGTAAATTAAGCCTCATCATCAAAATGAGTAATAAATCTCACTGACATTTGTTCATTTAATTCCAGTGAATTCTGTTTGATTAAAATTTTATTGAATCCTTTATTAGCAACATATTAGGGGCTGGGTGGCACTTCTACAGTGGGTAGAGAACCAAGAGTTCTTACCAGAATCTTACAATTTGATACTTCCTGATGACACTATTTCCCAAAATGCTCGTTTTAAATCAACAATTTATAATTCAATAATAATCTAAGAGGAAATTCTAAGAGCAGAGGCCTATCTGGCACAGAAATATGCCAGCAAAACTGAAATAGCATACTTCAGGAATTTAAAAATCAGTAGTTTAAATCTTACATAATGCTAAACTTTTTTCTTATATTCTATTCTCTATCACCTTATTATATTAAAAAATGACTTCAGGAACTGGAGAGATGCCTCAACAGTCTAGCACTTGCTGCTCTTGCAAAGGACCCAAGTTTACTTCCCAGCACTCACATGGTACCTCACAACTATCTGTAACTCCAGTTCACGGGATCTAATGCCCTCTCTGATCTCTGTGGGTACCCAAAACACACATGGTGCACAAAGATCATGTAAGCAGAACATGCATAACCATAAACTATATAGGTTTTAAAAAAAGGATTCAGGGAAGGACCCTGGCTCCATGTGTAAAGGCAATAGCTGCCCAGTCTGATTGCCTGAGTTGTACCCACAGGGACGATGTAGTGCATAAAAGAAACGGCCTGACCTCCCACAAAATGCCCTCTAACTTCCACATGGGTGCTATAGCATGTGCATGCACTCATACCCATACCACTGAATGAATGAATGAATGAATGAATGAGTGAATGAGTAAATGCAATTTTAAAATCTGGTTTTATATAATTTTGCCTTTTTTTGCTTTGATAGAGGACATCTTGCTTTATTATTTATTAGCATTGTGTTTAGGTCACACTAGTTTTAACGTCTGCATCTTAGTAGTAAAGGGATTGTTGTCAACAGTTTTAATTCTTCTCAATAATTAGAGGTCCAACAGCAGGCCAGTAGGAGGTAAATTGCTGCAAAATGCAGGTACCCTACTATGCACTCCAGTGCTCCCACTAAACCCTGATCAGTAACCTTACTCTAGCTAGAACTGGAGTCATAATAAATATTTAACTACAAAGGTGTTATGCATCCATCAGCAGATAATTTCACCAAGAATATTTCCACTTAAGTTCATTGAGATTGACAAATAAGCAAAACCACAAAAGCCTTCACGTGGCAGGAAGGACCCGAACAGTAAGAATCGGGAATGCTGCTAATGTGTACAGAGTTTCTTCCTGTTTGCTTCTGCTCTTAAGAGACAAGGTCTCATTACATAACCCAGATTGGCACCGAAGACCAAACTTACGGTCTTGAATTTATGTTCCTCCCACCTCAGCTTCCCAGGGCTTCTTTTTGGAACTGATTATGGAAGTTCATTACTTATTGTAGTACTGATTGCATAACTTACAACACTAAAAACAACCTAGGTGAATGTTCTAAAGGGGTGTATTTCATGGTACATGAAATGTATTTCAATAAACCTGGGGTAGACCCATTTTTAAAAGTTTTGAAAGCAGAACAAAACTACAAACCTAAATGAACACCCCTCTCGGGGTTCCCATACCTGATAATCCAAAACCTAAATCAAAACCCCTCTCGGGGTTCCCATACCTGATAATCCAAAACGCTGAACAACCCTAAATCAAAACCCCTCTCAGGGTTCCCATACCTGATAATCCAAAATGCTGAAGCCCAGGCCTCTACAGTCTTTCACCAGCTCCACAATCTTGACTTCAGGAGACCACAGGGCTAACTCCCCATCATCATCATCTTCAGTGCTGATATCTACACTGCGATCAACCTGAAAGAACAAAGAGGGTAAGAGCTGGAGCTGTCGCCCTATCTCTTCGGAAAAGAACTCGGTTTCTTTTCAAACTGGGAAGTCTCTTTGGCATGCTTGGTTAGCTTTTGATCTTTGTAAAGAGGGCATGCACTGGGTACTCACAATCAAGGATCAAAGCTTCATAAAACATTCAGGCATTCACAACTGCAGGTCTTTCGCACGTTTTCAAATGGTTTCATTGCAAGTGTTAACACTGACCTCTTATACTTCAATGAGGTCTGTCATCCCATTAGAAGCATAAAAGGAAAAACAGGTAATTTAAGTACAAATGTAAACTTCATGCAAAGCAGAAGCACACAGATGTCTGAAAAGCAGTACTGTAGTCATGATTTCAGTCAGAGACAGAAAAGCCAGCCAGGGTACAGAGGAGCCACTGCTGGCTGCTCCCAGATCCCATGAAAGTTTTACTAGAAAAGTACAAGAAGGAGGAAGAAGAGAGGAGGTGGTGGCTGGTGCAGTAGAGGTGTGGCAGTGCCAGCAGCTGCCACTACCAACTCCTTGAGCACTATGAAATTCCCCAGGTAGAAACAGGAATGATCTGGTATTGGAGGAAGTGAGTTAGTACAAGCACACAGCACACAGGTTCTTGGTTAATTCCCACACTCTGACATCCCTCTCTTCTAGATTCCTGTTCATTCAGGAACCCAGTGAGGTTCAATGAGACAGATCTACTAGGGGCCCTGGTTACTACAGAATCCTTGAGTTTTATTTATAGCACTGCATTGATTTGGACTGATTAATTTCTTGAAAAATAGTCCTTTCACAGACAATGACATTTTAGTTCAGTTTTGTGAAGCTGGGTCTTACTCTGTATTTCAGGATATCTTATGCTGTGGGACAATGATGATGTTGTACCCTATAAAGATTTGTCAGTTGTATTGCTTTAATAAAATGCTGATTGGCCAGTAGTCAGGAAGGAAGTATAGGCGGGGCAAAGACAACAGGAGAATTCTGGGTGATGACTGCACACTGCATCTTTCTTCTTTCCAGAATTCTCCTGTTCTCATCGCCCCACCTCTACTTCCTGTCTGGCTACTGACCAATCAGCATTTTATTAAACCAGTATAACATACAAAACTTTACAGGAACTAACTATGTACCCCAGGCTGGCCATCAATTAACAGCACTCCTATCTCAGTCTCCTGTGTACTGGGACTACAGGCATGAACCAAACATATGACTAAGTAACAACTTTTTAAAACAAAATGCTTAAAATCTTAGAGAACATCAGTAAATAAAATATGTATCATTCCTACAAACAGACTAAGTCACTGGTATAAGAAAATCCACTGAAGGGCTGGAGAGATGGCTCAGAGGTTAAGAGCATTGCCTGCTCTTCCAAAGGTCCTGAGTTCAATTCCCGGCAACCACATGGTGGCTCACAACCATCTGTAATGGGGTCTGGTGCCCTCTTCTGGCCTGCAGACATACACACAGACATAATATTGCATACACAATAAATTAATAAATAAATATTTTAAAAAAAAAAAAAAAAAAAGAAAATCCACTGAAGCCGGGCGGTGGTGGTGCACGCCTTTAATCCCAGCACTCAGGAGGCAGAGGCAGGCGGATCTCTGTGAGTTCAAGGCCAGCCTGATCTATAAGAGCTAGCTCCAGGACAGGAACCAAAAGCTAAGGAGAAACCCTGTCTTGAAAAAAAAAAAATCGACTTAATGGGATCAATGAGAGGGCTCTATAACAAAGCCACTCGCAGAATTAGAACTGGTCAGATCTCAAATTGTTGAGTTGTTACAGGATGTGGAGCACCTAATCCAAGTTGGGCAGAACCTAACACAAGAACAATTTCTTGGTTCTTGACTGACCAAATCTGAAGTGAAAGAATATTCTCCATGGCTATTTTCCATGTGTTTTAGCTTGTTAAGGATTATTTTATTATTTTAAAAATGATGATGGCACATGTGGATTCATGTGCTATGGCATACATGTGGAGGTTAAAGGACAACTCAGTAGACTCAGTTCTCTCCTTCTATCTTTCATGGGATATAGGATCAAAACCTGACGAGCCATTTCACCCACCTAGGAAAAGATATTTTAAAAAGAAAATACTTCCATCTTCCAAGAGGCTAATATTATGGTAAGTAGAATATTGGTGCACACTCACCAATCAGTGAGAATCAGAAGTGTTGCTATTCCACCTAACCAGACACTTTAACAACACAAGATGGTACTGGAAAGATGTGTTAGCAGTTAAGAACACTTGCTGCTCTTCCAGAGGACCCAAGTTCTGTTCCCAGCACCTACACAGTGCAGCTCACGTTTGCCTGTAACTCTAGCACCAGTGGATATAACACCCTCTTTTGACCTCAAAGGGCATACACTTGGCATATGCTCACAAAGACACACATATGTACACACATAAAATAATATTTTTTATAAAAAGAATATGATAGTTTCAGGAGAAATGAAAAACAGAGAACAATGGAAGAGAAGTCAAACTTTCAAGAGATCATATTTATCAAAGCCCAAGTTTATCACAATGTCATGGCACACTAGGTGCATGTTCCACACCAACCTGGACTATGTCACTCTGATATATCAATTCTGCATAACTCCAATCTATAGAACAGAAAGCAATCAGCTAACAGGCAGCAATGTCGGCATTTGGCATGTTCAAGCTGTTGTTCACCCCTGTGCAGTATGATGAATGGGAGCACAGAGTCAGCAAGATGGGTTGATGATTTACACCTGACAGAATTAAACTAAAGGTATTTTTATCTAGCATCATAAGTAAGATACCACACATACTTCACTTTATTAAAAGTAGTAGAAGTCACAAAGTATCTCAAGAGTCCCATCCTTTAAAATTATGGTCTTTTGTTTTGAGATAGGACTTTATTATGTAGAGTTCCTGGATGGCCTGGAACTTGAACTAGGTTGGCCTTGAACTCATAGAGTTCTGCCTGCCTCTGCCTCCCAAGTATTGAGACTAAAGGCATATGCCACATCAATTTTTTTCTTCTTTTACATTAAAACATGAATCAGCCAGGCATAGAGGTACACATCTATAATGTCAGCATTGGAGAGAAAAAGGCAGGATTATGAGTTCAATTCAAAATCAGACTTGGGATAAAAGCCAGTCCTTAGCTAATCTGGACTATACAGTGAACCTTGTCAGAAGGGGTGAGAGAAGGCTGGCAATCAAGAATAGTTCATATGTATAGTATAGAATAAAGGCAATATGAGATTAGAGAGAATTTTAAGAAATGACATGTGTTCCAAAAGAGCTGGCCAACTTCTTGAAAAAGCAAGATACATCCATGCTAAATGATCTATAGCACAGCAGTTCTAGATTTTTCTGGTAATTTAGACAATCAGAAACAAAGACATTGGACAGGAAGCATCAGGAATATCACGACTAACATTCATGGAGCTCTCACTTGATGTGGGAAGTCCTTCTGTATATGCATTGCTTTTATTGGCTAATAAATAAAGCTGTTTCAGCCAATGGTTTAGCAGAGTAAAGCCAGGCAGGAAATCAGAACAGATTATATATATATATATATATATATATATATATATATATATATATGTAGAGAGAGAGACAGACAGACAGAGAGAGAGAGAGAGAGAGAGAGAGACAGAGACAGAGACAGAGAGAGATAGAGATAGAGATAGGTAGAGTCAGGAAGACGCCAGAACAGAACTTTACCCGGTAAGCCACAGCATCATGGCGATACACAGATTAATAGAAATGGGATAATTTAAGATGTAAGAGTTAGTTAATAAGAAGGTTGAGCTAATAGGTCAAACAGTGTTGTCATTAATATAGTTTCTGTGTGATTATTCGGGTCTTGGCACCTGGGAAGAAAAGAGCAGTCTCCTACACCACTTGCAGTCAAAATGCTAAGAGCTTGGCATATATTATTTTATTTCCTTCTCATATAAGCTCTTGAGTGTTCTAAGTTTTGTGAACAGTACCATTTATCTTAGTTTCTTCTCTACCACTTTGATGAGACATCATGACCAACACAACTTATAAAAGAAGAGTTTATTTAGAGTTTACAATTTCAGAAGGCAAAAAAGCCATGACTATCATGGTGGGGGAACAGTAGATATGGAACTGGGGCAGTAGCTGAGAGTTTACATCTTGATCCACAAGCATAAGGCAGAGGGAGAGAGAGAGCTAACTGACATTATTCTGGGATTTTGAAACTTCTAACCCAATCCCCAGGGACATATCTCTTCCAACAAGTCCACACCTCCTAATCCTTCCCAAACAGTTCTACCAACTGTGGACCAAGCATTCAAACAAATGAGTCTATTGGGGCTATTCTCATTCAAACCACCTTTCATTACAATAGGAACAGAAGTCAAGGTTATCTACTCAAAGATGCACAAAGTATATAGGAAGTCCATACAATTTCAAAGATGAACTCAGTTGAATTTAGTTAAAGGAAAGGTCCCACATTAAACTGCTTGTGTCTGGAAAGGAGGGAAAGTGGCATAAAGATGAGGCTCCAAAGGACATGTGGTGACAGCACATACCTTCATAGTTCCTTCCCAGATTACAGCACTCTTAAAACAAGACATCTAATAGCAGAGGAAGTGCCAGTCCATATTCTGATTCTTTTGCATTTATGTTAGCTTCTAAACTCACATTGAAACTTACAGAATTCTTCATATTTTTAAGGTTCTCAGACTAAGGGGAAGACTAAGATAGTCAATATTTACCAACACCACAACTTTGTTATGATAAAATAAGTTGAAACAAAAGTCAAACAGAAGCCATGAATCCAGACAATTAGTTTTAAAAGTAGTTGCTTTTAAATCAGACTGATATACATCAGTGTCTTAACATTTTCAGGGAGTTCTAGAAATCCAGATGTAAATTCAAAATTTGAAATATTCCACACTGTTGCTTAGTCAAATAAAAGAGCAGAACAGAGCAGGGGCCCCTCTTTATATTGTAACCCCTCTTTGGAGTGCCCCTGATAAAAGGACACACATAATCAACACACACAGCCCTTTATACCTCTGCCTCAAGAAGAGATGGTTCCATGGTTCTTGGCTCATCAACTGAGGCCTCATCATCAAACAGCCGGCGACAGCAAACCAACGTAAATGGTGGAGGCACTTCCTTAAGAAAGGAGACTGCTTCTCGGCGAGACCTCCCATAAAGCTGCACACCATTGACCTAGGATGACAAGGGCTGTCAGCTGTGAACAGGTGGAAAATTAAAAAGCACCAAAAAGACATTTCATTGTTCCTGTAAACAAAGGGCCAAAATTAAACATATTATTTTATCAACAGCTTAAATCATCTAAATTAAGGATGGATCTTGATTTAAAAAAATATGGCTGAAACTCAACAGAAATGGGGAGAATAAAGTACAAAATGTATGCTAGGCAGCACTATTCTCGTATAAAAGATCTAATGCTTCCCGTCTCTGAGGTTTCTCCTTTACGTAATCTACTACTGTATTCTTCTGGCTTCCCTTCACTCCTCCTTAAATGCTCTGACTGTCCCTGCCATCCTCTTCATATCCATTTCCTTCTGTGTTGTCATTATATGTCTGTTTGCCATCAACATGTGGCCATATCAAGGATACCCAGCAGCTGGAGTTTACTGTCAGTCAGAGCACACTTCCTCAGCCCTCATCAAGAGCATCACCTTAGTAAATGCTTCTATGGGAAGAGATGGGTGTCCCCAACACCACTTCCATTCCCCTACGCTGAACTAGTACAACATCACAGAAGTGTTCAGTGCCCAAGTTAGTTCACATGAGTGCTCCCTATCTCTCAAAAGGATAAGTCTATCTTGTTAATGATTAATCCCTATCACCAAACATCATATATATATATTGATACATAATAATATTTTGGATGAAAGAAAATTTAGAAATCTAGATTTGAGTGTATTGCTATTCTTACATGTGGCTTTAGCTCAAAGTTCTCTCAGTTCTATCTGCAAGTCACTGAGAGTGACCCGTTTGCTATTCCTAAAAGCTAAAGAAGAAGGAACACATTCCAGCCAACAATAGTCTCTTTGGATCTCTTCTGCCTTCCTAAGAGGAAATGGCAGGAATTTAATATTAGTGGTATTTCTACTGTGGCATCAGTCTCTCAAAGGTGAGCACAAATGCTCAGATAACAGGCAGGACTGGCTATACAGGGGGCACCCTTTCCACAGATCTGCCACTGTACTAGGGATAACAGAGGATGCTGCGTTGCTGAAAGCACCCTATCAACCCTTTCAGCAGTGGGTAGTGGCTGGAGTAAGTGGTCCCTAGGAACCACTCTCTAGTCTGTGACACATCCAGCACTTAGAGCCATCAATCCGACACATCATCCTGTCTCTTAATTCTTCAGACACATTCTAAAAACAGTAACAACAAAAACTCCAGAGAATCCCAACCTCTCTGCCCCTTTCCGCCTCTCTCAGGTCATCATGAGTATGAAGGAATGTAGGGAACAGCCACCCCAAGAGTTAGCAGTCTTCCATGGAAGAATTCAAGCCAACCTCTATGCAGAAAGGGTAGGGAGCTATCACTGCTTACATCATATCTACAGTGCCAGCCCATGAAATAAGCACAGAAAGTTCTAGAGTTAGCTGGACAGTAGCCTCTACCAAATATAAAAAGAGAAAAAATGGAAGCAGTAACTCTACCTAGATACAATTATTAGTTTGTGCTTCAACAAATTAGAAAGTCACTTTTCAGGTTTCTATCTCAGAGTACCTTTAAATATTTATTTAGTTCATTATTTATTCATTTGAATTGTCTCCACTTATTATAGCAGTGCCTGGTAGTCCTTTTCACTACCTACTGCTAAAAACACTGGTCCTATTCCCATTACCAGCTCCTAGCTAAGGGATTTATGGCTGCTGTAAATAGCTGTTCTGGGCTGAGACTTGGCATGGTTCTCTAACCCAAAGCTTATTTGTGTTTCTGGTTTTAAGCACTAAGAAGTACATTAAACACATTGTGGGTGGGAGGAAGAAAAATGAAGAGGAGGGAGGCAGGGCAAGAGCAGGAGAGGGGATGGGAGAAACCAACCAAAAGTTTATGTGGTCAACTTCAAAGATTTGTATGTCTACACTCACTTACTCATAAGCCGATTTTATTTCAAACTTCACAATATCTCTAATAATCCTTCAATCTGAGATCCTTTTTAAGTACCATCAAGTCATAACAATGTCAATTTGTTGATTAGAAAATGCACAAGTGAGCAGAGGCTTGCCGAGCACTCACTTTACACATGAGCTTGTTAATGTGTCTGCCGAATTGACAACAGCCAATCCTCCTTGTGACAGAAGCCTTACAGTTTATATGAATGGCAGGCAGCTTTTTAGACTTTCTGACAAGTGGAGGAAGATGAAGAAATCAAGTTTTCAATATGTTAAATGCATGCCCAGGGACACATGCAAGCCTGTGACAAATCCAGAATCCAAGGATTCAAAGCACATCTCTGCTATTCAATCTAGTAATCTAGGCTTCTTTCTGTGTCTCAACTTTTTTTTTTTTAAAACCAGAAATCTACACTTTCTATGTCAAACTATTGAGGCCATGAATAACACTCAGAGCAGGACACTTGCCTCCCATGTACAAGAGCAGGTTAAAACAAATGAAGGAGGAAAAAATAGACCAGGTTTACAAAAACATGTACCTTTGTGTGCTAAGGTAAAAAAGTCATTATACTCCCACCCCAAAAATCTTCACACTCCTTTTATAGCACTCTGTTTGTGGATGTAGACGCCCACGGTAGTCTAACAGAGATATCTGTTGACGGGTGAAGGCGGAGCTACACCATGCCTGATCTATTCTAACACGTTCAACACTGCTCTCACACCACACACCAAGTACTTTATACTCTGGGTCACTGACTCCCACATGAAAAAGTATTCACTGGTAAACTTAGCTAGATACACCTTTCCACCTAGAACTAACCTAAATTAACTAACCCGATTTTATTCCATCTGCATCTCTCAAATATCTCGTTTCTCAATAACTAATAATTACATATCACAGCAATGTTCTCCACTCCACAGATTGTCTCAAAGCTATGACCATGCCTTGCCAATCAGAATAGACATGATCTTAGGACCAGAAACAATGCCTCAGTTATGCAGTAAAGTTTATAACATAAATCTTCCAAATGCAGCGCAAGGCCACTACCTTCAGTGATCTAAAAATAACTACTTTCCCCCATAAAGAATGATGAATATTTGAGGAGATGGATATGTTCAACCTGACTTAAATAACACAGAACATCCTCTCTTATCAAAACAACATAGCCATTAATAGGTATAGTCTATTCAACAAATGTTGCTGCCAAAACTGCATTTCTACCCACAAAAGAATGAAATTAGACACTTATTTTTCACCCTGTACAAAAATCAATTCAAAGCAACCAAAGACCTTAATCTTAAATATGAAACACAGAAATGTCTAGAAGAAAACATGCAAGCATTCAAGATATTGGATTAGGGAAGAACTTTTGAATAGAACACCAATAGCATGTCAACAAAAGGGATGGCATCAAAGTCAAAGGCTTATGAAAACCAAAGGAAATAAACAGGAGCGCAAACAGAGCCTAGAGAATGGGAGAACATCGTTACCAGCTACACTTCAGATAAGGGGCTAATAATACAAACTTTAAAATAATTGTAGAAATTAAAAGCCAAGGAAATTGCTAATCAGTACAAATGAATAGATTTTTTAAAAAAAGAAACATGATGGCCAATAATTTTTGAAAGCATTCACTATCCCTATTCATAGGGAAATGGAAACTACAGAATGACTATCTTCAAAATTTCTAACAACTCTTGAAGAGGATGTGGGTTATTCACTTTGGTGGGGAAACAAGTTAATACGCCATTGTAGAAATCAGTTTGGAGGATTCTCAAAATTAAAATTGAACTACCATATAACCCCACTATTTCATTCCTGGATAAATACCCAGAGAATTTCATACCCTGTCAAAGAGATATTTGCAATTCTATGACCACTACTACTTTATTCACTATAGCACAGAAATAGAACATAGTTGTCCAACAATAGGTAGATAGATAAGAAGAGCAAGTGCATATATAAGATGGAATGCTATTCAACTTTAAAAAAATGTAATCATAAAATTTGAAGGAAAATGAATGGATTTAGAATGTATGATATTAAATAAGATCACACGATCTCAGAAAGAAAAAAAAATGGATGTTCTCCCCGATATGTGAGATCTAGCCAATAATACATGTATATAGATTTTTAAAAGACTTACATGTAGGTACACTATAACATATAGAAAAAAATAACAAAAAGGGACACATACTAAGACATGAGAAATGACCAAATGGAGAGAATAGACATGAATCATAAAAGAGAATATAAAGTTAATTGTTTTTCTAATTCTAACTCTGTCGTGGGTTTTTAGTTTCTGGTAATGGATAAGTGCCTAAAAATGTATTCAATAGTGAAATTGCAAAATTCAATGTGAAGCTACACAGCTTCATATCCAAAGAGCCAATCTAACTGTATAGGAATTTATTGACCTTGAATATGGTTAATTTTTGTGTATAACTCTTAATTTGCAAGTTTTTTTAAAATAAAGTTTATAATTGAAAAAAGACAAAAAAATAATAAATCAATAAAATAAGAGTTGGTATTAAAAATAAGTTCACTGACAGAATACATGCCTAGCAACACAAGGTTCAATCTCCAATATAGATAGATAGATAGATAGATAGATAGATAGATTGATTGATGTGGGAGTGTCATCTATCTGTTGCTTTCATTGGTTAATTAATAAAGAAACTGCTTGGCCTTTGATAGGCCAGCCCTTAGGTGGGTGGAGTAGACAGAACAGAATTCTGGGAGAAAGAAAGCCGAGTCAGGCAGATGCCATGCCTCTCCTCTCCAAGATGGACGCAGGTTAAGATCCTTTCCGGTAAGCCACCACCTTGTGGTGCTACACAGATTATTAGAAATGGGTTAATCTAGATATGAGAGTTAGTCAGTAAGAGGCTAGAACTAATGGGCCAAACAGTGTTTAAAAGAATACAGTTTCCATGGTGGCGCACGCCTTTAATCCCAGCACTCGGGAGGCAGAGGCAGGTGGATCTCTGTGAGTTCGAGCCCAGCCTGGTCTACAAGAGCTAGTTCCAGGACAGGCTCCAAAGCTACAGAGAGACCCTGTCTTGAAAAACCAAAAAAAAAAAAAAAAAAAAAATACAGTTTCCGTGTAATTATTTCGGGGCATAAGCTAGCCATGCGGGAGCCGAGGCAGCCGGAACACAGCCCACCGCTCCACTCACAACAGATAGATAAGCGGCCAAGTAATTTACTAAATCTTCCAATAAGATTCTAAAACCTTGTTGTCCTGTAGTATGAATTCTAATTTGTCTTAATAATAAAAACTCAGAGTCAATTATCAGGGGTGAAAGTTGAAGGATCAGAGAAGCAGAGAGGCCAGTCACTAGAGAGTACCTACCTCTATCAATGCTTAGACCGAAGAGGCAATCCTGCCTCTATGAAATCCTCAAACTGCATCTGAGTTCCTGTCTCCTCCAGCCTTATATTCCTCTCATCACCCAGCCATATTCCTTCCTGTCTCCACCTCCCTAGTGCTGGGCTTAAAGGCATATGATCCCAAGTACTAGGATTAAAGGTGTGAGCCATCTGGCTGTTTCTCTTTTGAACTAGATAAATTTTGTGTAGTCCAAAGTGGCCTTGAATTCATACAGATCCATCTGCCTCTGCCTCCCAGTGCTGGGATTAAAGGTGTGTGCCACCACTTCCTGGCCTCTGACTAACTAGTGGCTTAGCTCTGCACTCTGATATTCAGGCAAGCTTTATTTGTTAAATCATAAACGAAATATCACTACATCCTCCCATATTTAAGACAGAAGATTATAAACGTTAATATCATTCAAAAATTCAACTCAGCATTTCTCACAGCACACTGCTTTAGGTAGGTGACAACTACTAACTGCAGGAGCAGACAACCTGTGTGTCATCTTATCATTTCACTTTGATCAAACAAAATCTGAAAAATTTCTAAAATCAGGAACCAGGACTACTAAGTCAATTTATTAAATCCACCCCTGTAGTCTGAATGTGAACTATTCCCCATAGGTTTCTGTGTTTGAATACTTGGCCTCCAGATGGTAGGGGTATTTGGAGGTTCTAGAACCTTTGAGAGGTGGGGTCTCACTGGAGAAAGTGGGTCACTGGTTATGGACATTGAGGCTTCCTAACCTAGCCCATTTCCTGTCCCATCTGTGCTTCCTTGACTGCAGGTGCAAAGTGGGCAGCTGTCTCATGCTCCTGCACCATAGCTGTCCCACCGTAATGGACTGTATCCCCTCAAACTGTAATCCCAAATAAACCTTATTCCCTAAAATGCTTCTTGTTGAAGAATTTATCATGACAACGGGAAAAGGAACTAACACACGAGGGCTTCTTGTGGATCATCTGGTTCCCTGAGACAGTACTTTGTCATAAGGCTCAGGATGGATTTAAACTACCATTCTTGTTATCTCTTTGAGGGACACAGGAAGTAGAGTGATGGAGTGAACAGTCAGTGAAATGAGAGGAAACACAAGCAAAGGTATTATTCGGTCACTAGTTCATTGGGAAGCTGGGAAAGTCAGTGTCACTTTCTCTTATTTCTAAGAAATGTTAAGTTTGTATGCTATGTTAGTGGTAGATCTACCATTAACTACTACTCAGATCTCTCAAGAAGACACCAGATTTTTAAACTGTAGATCCAACCCTATATGTGTAATTAATGTATTCCTATATCAATAGTAAAGAGTTTCAGAATGCACAATAAGCACAAATTAATTTAAAAATTGAACCTATAATGAATCAAAGCTTTCTTTTTTCCCCCTGACAATATTTGTCCATCACAGGAGCTCACTGTGGCCTTGGCTGTAAACATACAACATGCAATGGACTATGCATGCCACCATAACACAATCCTAACAAATATCACTTAGAACAGTGGCTCAGAATGGAAACTGTGCTATTATTAATCACACTGTTTTTAATTATAGAAATGTAAAGTTTTTGGGAAATACATTTGAACACATTGGCACAGGGAACCCCTTCCTAAACATAACCCCAGCAGCGCAGACATTGAGAGAAACAGTTAATAGATGGGACCTGCTGAAACTGAAATGCTTCTGTAAAGCAAAGGACACAGTCAACAAGACAAAATGACAACCTACAGAATGGGAAAAGATCTTCACTAACCCCACATCAGACAGAGGTCTGATCTCCAAAATATATAAAGAACTCAAGAAATTGGACACCAAAAGAACACATAATCCAATAAATTAAAAAAAAAATGGAGTACAGACCAAAACAGAGAGCTCTCAACAGAGGAATCTAAAATGTCTGAAAGTCTGAAAGACACTAAGGAAATACTCAACATCCTTAGTCATCAGAGAAATGCAAATCAAAACAACTCAGATTCCATCTTACACCTGTAAGAATGGCCAAGATCAGAAACACTGATGACAACTTATGCTGGAGAGGTTCTGGGGTAAAGGGAACACTTCTGCATTGCTGGTGGGAATGCAAGCTGGTACAGCCCCTTTGGATGTCAGTGTGGCGATTTCTCAGAAAATTAGGAAACAACCTTCCTCAAGACCCAGTAATATCACTTTTGGGTATATATCCAAAGGATGCTCAATCGTGCCACAAGGACATGTGCTCAACTATGTTCATAGCAGCTTTGTTTGTCATAGCCAGAACCAGGAAACAACCTAAATGCCCTCAACCGAAGAATGGATAAGGAAAATGTAGTACATTTACAAAATGGAGTACTACACAGCAGCTTGAATTTTGCAGGAAAATGGATGGAGTTAGAAAACATTATTTTGAGTGAGGTAACTCAGACACAGAAAGACAATTATCACATGTACTCACTCATAGGTGGTTTTTAAACATAAAGCAAAGAAAACCAGTCTACAAACCACAATTCCAGAGAACTTAGACAACAATGCAGACACTAAGAGAGACTTACATAGATCTAATCTACATGGGAAGTAGAAAGTATAAAAAGACCAGATCTCCTGAATAAATTGGGAGCATGGGGACCTTGGGGGGGGGGGGGTGAAGGGGAGAGGGGAGAGGCAGGGAGTGGAGCAGAGAAAAATGCAGAGCTCAATAAAAATCAATTAAAAGAAATGGGAGCTGAAAAGCATTGTACATCAAGTTGCTTGTCAGATAACTGTTAACAAAGGGGGAAAATAGCAAATACACATACACTTGTTGACATGCATGTCAAATATATCTCTTCATTTAAGCCAGGTATAAAGAAGCTCACAGTTTTGAATGTGCTCCATCTTGACTAAAGGTCAGAGAGTTCAGACCTATTCTTGCTCTTCAAGGATGAGTAACAAGATGTTTGACCAAGGGTGTGACTACTGGATGCCTTACTCTTCAAAGACCAGTCAATAGGATATTTTGACTTAGGGCATGATTACCAGGTGTTTTGAATGTAAAAATATAATTATGCTTGCTTGTTCTTTGTATCATGGAAGTCTTATGCCCTCCCCGTTTGACTGGGGTGTGTAAGGACTGTGAGTAATAACTCACTTTTTGAGGAAGAAGAAGAAAGAAGAAAGAAGAAAGAAGAAGAAGAGGAAGAGGAAGAGGAAGAGGAAGAAGAAGAAGAAATGTAAAGTTTTAGCTGTGGATATAGCTCAGTGGGCTGAACACTGGCCTAACATATTAGAGGTCCCAATTTCATTCCCCATGCCACCTAAAATGGGGATTGGAGGTACACAGGCCTAAAATATAATGGTTTAATTATTTTCCTGCCATAATTCCTCAGCCTGTAAATGTCAAATTAGTACATGTCGACATCATATTACATTAAAACGTTTGATTTTTAAATTACTGTTTGGGCTGTTGACTTGAGCATTAAAAAATTGTTAAATGAATTTTGGCTTGGGATAAAGACAGAAATTTTAAATTCTGAAATAGTCCTAAAAATCTGCCATTTTTTTCTATGTATTTAGGTAAAACAACATACTCAGTATTGACAATTATAAAATCCAAATGTTGATCAGATCTGTAAAACACTGAAGATGCTCTGCTCCTGCCATACCAGAGTCAGCCAAGATTTATATGAAATCTTGTTCTTTATCTGAAAGCCAGCAATCATGTCCATCTCAGTATGCAAAACAGCATCCATCTTTATTTAATAAGTGACAAAAATACGTGTGTGCCAAAGAATTCTGCCCTAAATCTACTTTAGGGTGACAATTGGTAGCCTAAAAGAGACCATGGGAGTCAGCATTACAAAGAGGGAAATCCCAAGGGAATAATCCTAAAGCTACATGCAAGCCTAAAGGTGTTCAACCCTTATAATCCTTACAGAAATAACCAACAGACCTGAAAATAAATATACTACATGTTGCCAACAAGAATCAGAGACCATGGGGTTGGAAAGGTGGCAAGACAGTTAAGAGTATCTGTTGATTTTGTAGAGGACCCTAGCACCCAAAGCCCTATTCTGACATTCAAAGGCATTAGGCACGTACATAGTGCACATAAATACATGCAGGTAACACTCATATACATATATCAAACTTTTATGACAATCATTTAGACAAACATTTAAAATGATGCTCAAAGGCCTTAACAACTAGAGAAAAGTACATTTAAAATGTGGTATATACTTTGTGTATTAACTAGTAAGCTGTTGGCATTTCTCATTATAAATGGCTCCCATTACATTGGCATTGGTGGCATTGTCAATTGGTGAACACATTTTCCTAGAACTTAAAATTACTGCCATGCATTTTTCTTCTCCTTCATGTTTTACCTCAAGAAGCTCATCTTCCGGCTGTAGGAGATTTAGGGAATCCACTGGACCACCAGGAACAACTGAAGAGATATAATGGTGTCCATCAAAGGAATCCACTTCCACACCAAGTCTCAGAGTGTGGATAGGCAGCAGCTGCAGGAAGCACAGAGCAATGACATCAAACACAACAGGGACAGGACAGGTATTAATCAACCCCCAGTTAGGTGTCATTTAGACATTGAAACCCCACCTCTTAGAACCAATAACTAAAATTCTAAATGGCAAAACAGGGGGCGAAAAACAGAAAGTGAAGTTACGAAACCATTGGTTTTCCTATTCTCCAGCGCTTCCCTTCAGTTTCTGAGAATGGAGACAAAAAGCAAACAAAAGAGCCTGCCTTCAAGTCCTAGTTCCAGATTCCCCACACTTCCTAGAGTCCCCAGTATACATGCTGTGTGTCACTGTTCTAAGTGTTCCCCACCCCAAGACATCCCAACTCCCCTTTATTTGCTAATTAACCTCCACTTACACTTTACTACCAAAATAATAAAACCTTCAAGAATCCCATTAATGAACATCCAAGTGAGGTCAGGACTATACTGAACACATCTTGATCTTAGCACAAGCACACTGATTATAATTCTCTTCTTTCTCTCTGTTTCCTGAGGCAGGGATCAAACTCAGAGCTTTGGAAATGGTAGGCAAGAACTTTACAACTGAGCTGTAGCTCCAGTTCTTGTTTGTTTTGTTTTAACATAGGGTCCCATGTAACACAGGATGGCTTCAATTCACAATCCTCTGGTCTTTACCTCTCAAGAGTGCTACAGGTGGGTACCAGCACACCCACAAACGATCCTATTTTCTTGATTGCCCAGAACATTGTCAGGCACTGAAGATGATGCATTGGATGCTATGTGAACATTACTGATTTGGGGGAAGACAATCATTTCTACTCTGGGATTGCTTCTATTCAATTTGAAGGGCTCTTGTGGGCTATAGCATGAGTCATTGTTGAAAGACTCAGTGTCAGGAAGATGAGAATCTTAGCTGCATTCACCTTGGTTGTCTATAAAACTCTAGGACATTCACCATAGCTGCCTAAATTCAAAGGTGGTAAACACTATGCTATGTTTTACATTCTCTTGATCAACAGTCTGCTTATCTACACAGCAGGGCCACTTCTAATTATTCTACATAAGGAGATAATCCTCTACAGGTAGCAATGCATCCTCAGTTTCTCTGTTGTCCCTTCATCCCTCAATCGCTGCCTCCCTTTACTTATCTGTTCTAAGCACCCAGAGTTGCATAGGACTTGCTTCAGCCTCCACCTGGGGCTCACTTTCATCAAATGACAGCCATGCGGAGAGATGGGAAGTGGCACGCAGTTCAGCTGACAAATAGTTCACAATAGGCACAAGGGACTAGACCTATAGCCCCCAGATTAGCTTTCCAAAAAAGAGTTACTCTTAACCACCAATCTCTCTTCTAGCACCCTACATGAAGAGCTGGATTGCTTCTTTTTTTTTTTTTTGGTTTTTCGAGACAGGGTTTCTCTGTGGTTTTGGAGCCTATCCTGGAACTAGCTCTTGTAGACCAGGCTGGTCTCGAACTCACAGAGATCCACCTGCCTCTGCCTCCCGAGTGCTGGGATTAAAGGCGTGCGCCACCACCGCCCGGCACTGGATTGCTTCTTACTAGTACTCTCCGTCCTGTGATTTCTCATGGCTGCCACACCACTCTCTTGTGTAGTCACTATCAAATCACTTCTACGAAGGTAGGAGCTGGGTTGCTTCCATAGTTCATTCAGCAGAGGTGAAGCCAAGACTCTCAGATAAATGTTTCTGTAAAATGTTTCCCAACCAATCCACGGGTACCACCTTCCTTTCCATTGTGAGCCATATATCATGAAACAGAGTCGTTGTTTCTCAGAGACCAACTCCCGTGGGTGCTGGAACTATCTTGCATAAGATTATGAAAGCAGATTATTCAGTTTCCAGAAATTCTGAAAGCCAGCTGTCAAATGTGGCCTTCAAATTATGTTGTATAAAGTTGCAATTAAATCATATTAAAAATAAATGTAATAAGTACTCAAAGTCATAACTTTCTAATTATTTATTATATTTTATTATTTTATTTCCCCAAGGTGATGTATATCTGAAAGACATAAATATTTCAACACCTCAGAGAATACCAATCAGGTGGACAATTGAGGCAAAGTAGCAGATGAAATAGCTGGTTTGTTTAGTTGCTAAGCACAGCTGGGACAGGTCCTTGCCCTGCAGAGGAGCCTGTGTGACAATAAAGTGATTCTTGTGAGCAGCTTTCCAATTCAGTGATCAGTGATGCCATTTGGCAGCTGAGAGCTGGCCAGGACAGAGTATGTATGCCACAGATATCAGTAAATGTTGCAAACTAGGGTGTCCTCATTCTCTTTCTGGGGGCTAGAAACTGTTACATCACCAATCTACCATAGATCTAGGTTATACTTCTAGGCTGTATACTGCATGTCAGGCATTGTGCAACAAGAAAAGCAAGGTGGATGAAAGGGAACAGCCTTGGCCTTCAGAAATAATATCACCAATGTCAGAGTGAACGACCAACCAGCCAACAGGTAGCATGATTCAAACAAGCCTACCCAGTAAAGAATGCAAAGAATGAAACCAAGTATGACTGCTAGTGGTAAGCAAGTGCGTACTAATTCCAGCAAGTGCTGCAAGGAGACACTTTGGGTCTCAATATAGGAACACAAGAGTTGGAGGTCGGTTCACAAATCTGGCCAGGTAGGCAAGTAGAGAAAGTGGCCTATGAGGAGACAGTTGAAAGATAAAATGAGCTAACTCTATGAACAGTCTGCTGGGGGCTCTTGTAGAAAGGGTAACTGTTAAATCTTCTATGTAAGCAAATGAGTAGATGATGTGATTATTTCTATATGCAAATAACTACCCAAATTTGACTATATATTAAAAAATGTTATCCATACAACAGAGACCTATACTACATATCCCATCAAAGGTAAAAGAATAAAAAAGATAAAACAAGGGAAGTATTGCTGACATCCCTTCCAGCCCCCTCCAAGTATTGATCTATTCAACTAGTGGATTCCATCCCCCACCTCCATGGGACACTGAAGACAAGAAAGGAGTGGATCAGAACAGACTCGTTCATGGCATCCCTGGCTCCCTTTTATGCTATTTTTTCAGATATCTGTACACTCCATAAGCTCTCTAGAAAACTTAATCTGCAAACAAAATACATGCTTCATCTTCAATCATGATGAACCAGAAATGATGTTTACAAAATCTGTCAATCTGGGGGAAATCTACCTACTATAAGTTCTGAATCTAAATGGAGTGCAGCTGGGTTTCTGGGACATCATGTTCCACTGCTGCAGTCTTCTCTGCAGGAGCATAACTGTTTAATTACCTGTCCCATCTGAATTTAGCCGTCAAACAAATCAATCCTTTCATCTGTCTTTTAGTTGTCCATCCCTTCCATACAGTGAGTTCGTAGGCAGAGCAGAAAATGCTAAGATGACAAGGAGTGTGTGCAGCAGATGATTGATTGTGTGCAGACACATTCCTTACCATGCTTTCTGATGCTTGTTCAATATGCATTTCCCAGGTCCTACTGAAAGTGACAAAGCTAATGAGTAGTGGAGTTCTCTTGATTCTGCCCAAAGGTTTACTGTCAAAGCTAAAATGATTAAGAAAAACGAGATTGAGAGAGCTGGAGTCTTTAGTCCAAAGTAAAGAAGCCTGTCACGAAGTAAACTATGGCACATGCATTTAGTAAAAGCTTGACTTTTAGGATCCTAAAAAAAGACATCAAAATGGTCTTTCTCCACTGGAGAAAGAATTCTGGAAAAGACTGCTCCAAGGAGGTGTCAATGGGGTGGGGGAAGATATTTCCAGAGAACATTGAATTCAAAATAAAACAGAAAAGAACAGAAGGAAGACCAGGGTTGGTTCTCATTATATGCATACACACACTAAATGAAAGTATTAAATACTCATTGAGGTCCAAAAGTAAGAAGTTACTAAATTTAGTATAAAAAAGAAACAAACATCCCAAGATGAAGGCTACATGTCTTCAAGAAGGAAGATGAACTTCATTCCCTTAGAAGTCATGCAATCAATCAATCAATCCACTAGAGCAGCTCCTATTCAGTATTTGCTTATCTCTTCCCTTCTAAAATCTTAATTTTGAATATTCAGAAATATATACGATGTTAAAAATATTAACAACTCTTTTCAACTTACTCATACAAGTATGCGATCTGCTACTGTAGGTGTCACCTGGGCTACCTGCCTGGCCCGCCTGTCTGAGTTTTAATCACTGACCTAACACTGTACTTGAATCTCTCCTACCTTTGATCACAAAATATCTTCTTCTTATTCAGTTTATTTCTTCCAAATCCACTCTTCAAAATACAGTACAAATGGCAATCTCCCAATAAGCATTTTCCATCTGTCATAAGGAACTACTACCTCCTTCCTTCAGCAAGTATTAGGCATTTTAACAATACATCCAGAGTCATTCTCAACACAACACGAAAAAGATGAGACTGAAATCCCTTCCAGGAGGGGTGACAGGGATGCTCAATAATTAAGAACCGGGCAGTTCTTACAGAGAATTCAGATTTGGTTCCCAGAACCCACATGATGGCTAACAGCTGTCTGTAACTCTTGTTCCAGGGAATCCGATGCCCTCTTATGACCTCCATGGGGACTACAGGCATATGGTGCACAGACATACATGCAGGCAAAACCCTCATGCACAAAATAAAATTAAGTTTAAATTTTTGGAAATTTTGAAAAACTTTAAAAAATTATCTTCTCTATAATCTCAAGACTTGGAAGGCAGAAACAGGAGGATCATAAATTTGAGGGCTGTCTGGAACACAAAGAGTTTGAGACCAATCTTAGCTACATACATTGGGGTGGCTCTAAAAGGAATTGGAAAGGGGTGAAAATGATTAAAATGTATTAATTATATGAAATTTCCAAAGAATTAATAAAAATGTTATTTTTTAATAATGATGCTGGGTGGTGGTGGTGCATGCCTTTAATCCCAGCACTCGGTAGCCAGAGGCAGAAGCTCTGTGAGTTGGAGGTCAGCCTGGTCTACAAGAGCTAATTCTAGAACAGGAATCA